CTTGCTGGGCTTACCATATTTAAAGAAAAAGACAGAGGTGGGCAAGTGGGGTCAGGGTCCAGGAGTCAAAGGTTCTTGAAGAAATAGACCCCTACCTAAGTGGTGATGTGAAGAACCTCCTTTGGACCAAAAAGCGTGTTGAACACCACAGAGAAAGGGTGTGAGTAGAGGGAAACCTATTCTTGGGGTCCGGGCTCCGATGTTGTTTGGGGCGGGGCTGGTGCAATCAACCAGACATTAGCCCTGCATCTCTATCCGCAAGTGGTTGCAAATCGTGCTGTGGAGTCTTAGTGCGGCAAAGCCCTCCTTTGAACCAACCAAGCAGCAATCTATGCTTGTAAAACGGTCCCTTTCCTGGGCCCTCCCTTCACAGCAAGGCACGAGGGCATGCCTTCTCCTTGATGCATGCGTTTGTAACAAAGCCTGGGTGGTGAAGGGGCGCACGGCTCTGCCCTTTGCACCCTGAACGCAAAACATGGGCCAGGTTCTCTTTGTGTTGGTGCTGCGCAGTAAAGTAGCATCGACAGAACCAGAAGAGGCATGGAGGTCAGGTCATGTGAATCTAGATGGGCTTCATATCACTAGTTCTTCTCGTGGCACGCCCTTCTGAAATCTGTTCCATCTGGCTTGCGGCTGGCTGTTTGAAACCGGGCTGTTTTGCTCTTCGCACTCTAGTCAAAATCAAGTGCGTTCGTGCGCCTGCGGCAGTTTGCAGCGGAAGCGGTGGCCGGACACCGAGATGTTCACACCGTCCTCATGACGCCCCTGGCGGGTAGCAGCTACCGATCAGGCACCGCAAGTCTAACTGAGCTGTTCAAACTAGAGTCTAGAGTATTGGCCAATGCCACACCCATTCTCCCGGCCCAATGTGATACGCACAACTGAGAACTGCAACATCCCCATAAATGCAATGAGGAAACTTGCAACTGCTACTGGTCTCTAGAATGCACGAATGGCGTTCCAACATGCTGGCGTCCTTCTAGCGGCTTGCCCTTTTTTCAATCAGGCTGCTGAGGGTAGGATCTCTATAAGAACCTTTGCCATGGCGCAGCCGAAACAGCTCAAGGCCTGCAGAACAAATTTAAATGAGTCCAACGGCTCTAGGTGGTTGCGTTGGGCCCCAACAAGGCCACCATGCAGCGGCCGAATGCGAGGGGCCGTGGTTGGGCGTCGTCTAATTGATCACTTCCTCCTTAGCGTTGGCATGCCTCAGAGCCCGCACGAAGGCTTGTCCTAGATTCCGGTGTGGACGGTAGTAGCTACCAGTAAGCGAGATGCGCTTTTCATCACCGAAGGTGTGTATACCTCCAGTTCCCTGAAACTGAGACGACAGAATTGGCTTTCTGCCGATGCCAGGCTGGTAGCGCTGCGTCTGCTTGAGGGGGATTCACGTGTGCAGAGACGCCCGAGCGCTGCAAGTGAAGTCCTTTGAGGATGCTTTGACAAAGGCGTCGGTGTAGACCGCCGTGGGTCCTGCTCGTTCTGCAATGAGAGGTTGGTGTACTTCATGGCCTTGTTTGGCTAGCAGCTTGACGAGCGGCCACACATTGGTCAGCAGTCGGGTCGGTTTCTTTGCGGGAAGGATTTTTTCGTGGTGGCGCACATGTCCAAGAAGACGCAGAAACCAGTGTCTCTCTGCATCAATCGTTGAGCTCTCGTCAACCGCCAAGGATGTCCGAGAAGAAACCCACGACGGCTGTCATCTTGGCCCGCAACGCCAAGAGCGAAATTCAATTTTTGTTATTGAATTTTGTTCTCCTTCTTGCTGTTCATGAGCCGGTCGCTGCGGCAGTCGCTCAGTTGCCTCAGTGGCGAAAAGCTGGGACATGGAAGTGACAGAATGATCAGAGCTGGCTTCAGCTCCTTCACTTGCTTGCGGGTGTCCTCGCAACACCGAGGGTCGCAAAAGCCGTAACGAATGGCGCAAAGCGCCTCCAATATCTTGCAACTTCGCCATCTTGGTCTAGTCTTTGGCGCTGGCGTGCACGAGCTTCTTGATTTTCTTGCTGATGTTCCGTGGGGTGCTTCTCCGTTCTTGACCTTGGCCCCGTCGAATTCTCCCCGAAGCAACTGGCGCTGGTACTGTGCTTCCGGCGCACAATCGTGTAATCAGATCAAATGCAAGTTCGATCTTTGCTGACAGGTTGAAAAATCCTCCGCGTAAGACCATGAGGCCTCACTCCTTCTGGACCGGATCCACCATCTCCATGTCGCCCAGGGTGTCCGAGTCCGTGTTCAGCTCGTAGACCTCGTGTCTCCGCGGTCTTGCGGGTGGAAGTCTTTGAGGACCCCGTCAGCGTTCTGCTCTGGGCCTGCGGCCTCCCACGCCGTCGAGTCGTGTCTCGTGTTCTGGTTATTGACTTTGGCATCCTCCTTGATGGAGACCGTGCCCAGATTGTTCATGTCTGCTCCCAAGTCTTCTGGGCTTTGGAGCGTGTCAGTGGTTTTGCCGATGCTTCGGCGAACCACCTGCTGCGAAGAGTTCTGCCTGGTCTGCTTCTTCATAGTCAACTTCTCCGCCGCGTCCGTCCAAGTGTCATCCTTCCTCCGCCAGGCATTCTCGGCTTTTCTGCAGTTCTGCTCCTTGGGAAACGCTGGTTCCCTGGCATGGACCAGCTTGTTGACGCGGCCCGTCAACGAAGCCATTGCTGCCTAGACGAAGCCGGGTTGAACAGCTGTGGCGGCACACAAAGATCAGGAGCTTCACCTTGCGCAACGCTTCCATGCTGGCTTCCGCACTCTGAGATGTCGTAATGACAAACGGTCGTTGGTGGCCAGACTTCCATTTTCCTTGTTGCGAATCCGGCTGTTGGCTCCTGGTGTCCGGTGGATCCACTCGATCCACTGGCAGTCAGCGTCAAAACCATTGGAGGCAATCCACTGCAGTCCGCAAGGGTGATCATCGGCAGGCGTCCGCAAGGCAGGGCTTGCACAAAACTCTACCCAGCTCTCTGTAGCCACACCGAACCCAAAAATGCTGTGGCTGAAGAGGTGTGTGTGAAGGCAACACAAATGGATCCACTTCCGGGTCCTTGCGCGTTGGTTGGCAGATTCTCGGGGTCGTACTGCGAAATGTCGATGGCTCGGTGTCCTGCAGGCAGTCTGAACATGTTGGTGGGGTTGCCGCCAATGATGCACTTGACTCGTTCTTCTGAGCCTGAGCATATTGGCCACTTCATTAAAGGTCCGCGCCCCAGTTTCTCCGAGGTGGGATTCCATCTGCGCGCCAGCTCTTTCGTGACAACGAAGGAGGAGAACGATTCGCCTCGGCCACGCTCTCCTTCAAATAGGAGCTTGTCAACTGCGTGCGGGCGGTGGCTTCCAAAAAGGGGCTGTATTTCTCCAGGAGCTTGGAGGACCGCCGCCTTGGCTGGAGGTCAGCTTTGGTCGGCACCGTGCCAGCAATGTGCCCAGGTTGGGAGCCTTCTGGAAAGCTCTGCAGAAACTTTATTGGCTCTCATGCCAGCTGGAACGGGAATCTTGATGAGGATCTGCATCACGCTCTCCTGGAAAAGCCGGAGCCTAAGGCTGAGGCCAAACTAGCTGCGTTCATGTTGGTGACGGAGTCCACGTTTGTGGTGGCGGGCGAAGGGTTCATGCCGGGGCAAGGATGAGCCTGGGAGCCAATGTTTGGGGCAGTCCTGCCGAAGTTGAAGCTCTGGGCAATCTGGGCATTCGCGCCGAAGCTCATGTTCTGGGCATTCGCGCCGGAGCTCATGTTCTGGGTGTTCAAGCCGTAGGGCATGTCCAGGGCATTCGTGCCAAACAGCAAGTTCGGGGCATGCAGGTTCGGTGCTCTCATGCCGTTCAGCATTCTGGGCATTCATACGGGTGTGCATGCTCTGGACGTTCATGCCGGTGGTGGGGTTCACGGAGTGCACCGTATTGGGCATCATACCTGAGTCTGGGCCTGTAAGGCTAGGTGGCGCCGCAGTTCTGCCACAGATAGTCCATGCAAGGGTCCGCAGCCAAAGGCCGATTCATGGCACCAAGGCTCCGCGTACCACTGAGGGTAGGATCTCTAAGGCGCAAACGAAACAGCTCAAGGCCTGCGGATCAAACCCAGATGAGTCCAACAGCTCTTGGTGGTTTCATCACTGTGGTCAAGCGCTTGGACAGTGAGGCAAGGTCGACGCAGGATCAATCAACCTCTTTGGGGGCTGCTTCCCGAAAACGTGAAGCATTCTTTCTACACGGGACAGCCCCTATTGTTCAAGCAGGGCGCTTTTCATTTCTTATCAATCCTGCGTCAACTGCAGTTGGGGCAACCTAAGACTGGGCTGGCCGAGCCTGCGTCGCCAGCTGCACAACATAGTTCCCTGCTGCGCCCGGCAGCGCCAGCACAAGAGGCCAGCGCATGACATTGCAAACAAAGCGCAGCGCTGCGCTCTTGCCAAATTGATATTGTTATGTAAACTGCCTTAAACATTGTTCCTATTCAGTACGTTGCGCTGGATAATGGGTGAAATAAAAACAAGTAGTCAAACAACACATGCGCGTACAAACCCACAAACAACCGTGACACAGTGACACCTGAAAAGGTGCTCTAGTTGAGTAGCTCGTGCACCAACGCTGAAAAGGCTACACGGAACCCTCTTTTGTTTTGGCTAGGGGATCTCCAGGCAAAACATCCCAATCAACTCGCAAAAGCTGCATGATGCCACAGCCCCAGTTGGTGGTATACAGTACCCGCTCGCAAACAATCAGGACCCTGTTGTTCGACTTTGCTCCACTTGGGCACTCTTTTGTCCACTTCCATCTTGGGATATGGCCCGTGAAGCCATTTTTGGACGTGGCTTAGGCAAGTGCCATGGTGGGCTTGTGGCTTTCCTCAAAACTTCAGGCAGCTCAAAGCCTAAGAGCCAAAAGTCACGGCTCTCACTTCAACACAGCTACCCCATGTTCCATTACCCGTGATGCTTTATGGGAAGCACTGTGAGGCTGTCGCGTCATGAGCTCCTGTGGACCCAGGTCAGCGTCTTTCGACTCTCCGATCCCACCTGTGGCTCGCTCGGCTCAGGGGTCTCTGGCTCAAGCCTTGGCGCGAACCCACTATCCCCACCCCAATTGCAAACAGAATGTGGTTGAGCTCCCCTGTGCATGAAGAATGCTACTCTTACTGCGTGAAAAAGCAACAGCACAAAGAACGCAAATGCAAGCACCTGGAGAGTGCAGCAGCTCCCCAAAAATGCGCAACATCTTCTTTACTTATGGAGCCCGGTGGCACATTGATTCGTCTTGAGAAGCGGTTGCGTTGGCCAAGCAACGAGGTTGTGGGTTCCCCCCAAGCCTTTTGAGTGAGAACTTCAACTTGCAGAACGGTGAACATTTGAGCCAGACTCCGACATCCACGGCAATCTACGCTGCCAACCGTTGAAACACACGAGCTGCGTCTGAACAAACACCCTCTCTTGCATACACTGCGTTTGGGGGCCTGTCAGCCATGTTGAAGCCCAGGCAACTCGAGTCACGTAAGCAACAAAGCCAAGCAGCACCTGGCAACCTCACAAACCGGTGCAACGAGCAGACAGAAACAACCAAAGAGGCATGTCCATCATGTCCCTGATGTCGGCAGGCCACTCAAGCTGAGCAGCCAAAAGATCGGCTCTGCTGGCATCTGTGGGGAGGTTTGCGGCATCGCGGGCGGCACGGCGTGCGGCGAAGGCAGCTGAAGTAATTGCTCTGATGGGGCCCTGGACGGTCGCGGCACCGGCGACTGGACCGGCGACGGGATCGCTGGTGCGGTCTCTGGAGTCGCTGATCTCGGCGATGGCACTTTCCTTGGCAGAGGCGTGGGCAGCGCCAAAATGCTCCATTGAAACCCTCCCCTTGGGACTTCTCAGGGGGCTCACATTGCAAAACTCGGGAAGCAAGCTTGGAGGAACTGACTTGTTTGCGGCAAGCGTTTGCATCAACTGCAGTCTTGGAACCTTGGCCAAGTATGACCCAGCCAACAAATGTGCATCAACTCGACACATGCCCGCAAGGACGTATCTAGTCGTGACCTGACTGACAAAGAGGGTCCTCCAAGCCATTGCATTTGATACTAGTGATCTTCCACATGTGCTCTCTTTGGGACGTTCCTCGAATGAGGACCGCTCCGTGTTGTTGGTTTTCAGTTGGCTTACCTTCAAAGCCGTCTGCATGCAGGTCCCTAGTCTTAAGACACGCCCGTCCCGTTTGAGGAACGCTGTGTGAGGAGCTGAGGGCCTCACTCCACTTCGGGTGCTGCCCAAAAGTGCCGCCTTCTTTGTACCCTAGTTTCATGTTGCGCCACCGTGTAAGGGAACCGGCCGGCTCGCAGCGCTGCGAATGGCTCAACCCTAACAGCTCCGTGGTCCTACCTGGGCGAGTGGCGCTCCCCGTGCCACAGCGGGGCCTCAGTGAAGCTTTGAAGCTGGCTCGCGTCAAAACAGGCGGCTGCTCACTCAAGCGAAGCTGCACTAAGAGCCAGCAGAATCCGGTGACTTTGGCTTGAGCGGCGAAGCCGCACTTGCGAAGGAACTGCACTCGGGAAATGGCAGAACCAACTCAAAACGCTAGTGTCGTGTGCTTTCAGGGAATGGGTATGAAACATGTCACAAAAAATCACACTGCAAACCCAGAACTTCCAACCGCGCCTTGCTGCCAGTGCCGCATTCGCCGCCTTTTTGGAACGCAACTTACGTCGGTGTCTTCTCCCGGCCTACGGATCCTATACTCCGCGACGGGGACGGCCAGGTCGCCACTGACTGAATCTGCTTCTCATTCTTCTCTGCTGCCCGTTGCTTCTGGTAGGTGAACCATGCCTTAGGAAAACAGTATGGATTGGCGAACGTGTCTACAGAATAGACGGGAGCAATTCTTCCTTACAACATTATGGACCGCAAAGCAGAAATCGAAAACTACTTCCAGCATGAGAGTATTCAGCTACAAGCAGGGATGTACGTCTCTTAAGATGAAGGCACATGAAACCTCACCAAATGATCACCACAAAAAAGACCCTTTCTGAACCCCGCATGGCAAATCATATCGTGGTCATTTTGCAGAGCAAATGCAAACCTTGCAAATGCCTACAACATGCCATCACAGCCCAACCCGGGCAAATGGTAATCCACTAATACGAAATGACGGGTTTACGCACAACATTCTGCCAACGTACCTTAATAGGGGGCAAAGCAAGCACCAGAAAGAAATGGCCTTCCCAACGTGCCCTTCAGATCCCTCTTCCTATTTATCAACTTTCTATGATTCCTCAAGGTCAACCCATTCTGTTGGGGACATAAGGGACTCCATTTTCAGGATTCACTGAGCGGGAAACTCGCATTGTGCCTAACGGGCTTTACAGCCAAGCTGCTTGGCCCCGGCCTGACAAGAACTCTTTCTTCTCGGACAAGCTGACTCGAAACCCCGACTTCTCCGCAACGGTCGTGTCGCCTGGGCCCGCGGCAACGTCGGCCTCTCGCCTGACAGGGCGAGAAAAATGAGAAAGATCTGCGGCTGATATGCAAACTCCTTGCCTCATCCGTAGCCAAGAGCCAACCAAGTTGAACATCCGCATTCAAAGTATCACACGGATCTTCATATGTATTTGCATGCCTCGGCGCACCTCTCTCCTCAGGGTGGCTACCTCAAAGCACCCGGTAAATTCCACGAGAAGCCACCAAACCTCGTGCGTCCTGTTGTGTAAACGCGAGTGCCCCAGGCCCGGCCGTCATGTTAGAAAACACGAGTGACGATAACCAAAGATGGATCAATAGCAACGCTCCATCGACGTTAAAACAGCACTCAAAGCAAAGGGAGACAATGTCCTTCCACAATTTACAACGACCCCCGCCGCCGAGTTGTATGTTGCAATGTGGATCCAACCGTGCGATTCCATGGCTCCAAAGCATCAAGTGACACCTGACATCAAGGGTCGCTTGAGGTTGCCTGACTTGCAAACCGGAGCGCTAATGATTGTTAGCCTGCGGTCATTGTAGTCAATTGTGCCGGTGTGCTCCTCAATCTGGCTGAGCAGGTGCATGTGTGCGAATGGAAAGTCATTCTTGCTCTTGGCAATATTCAGCAATCTCTGACAACAGGTCCAATTCTTAGGGCTTCCAGGGGAAGTGGTGTTGGGGGGGGGGCTTAGACTCAGGCCATTTTTGCACACACAAAAAAGAAAAGTTGGATAGCGAATAGTAAGCAGTACTGAATACTAAACCAGTGAGAGACTACTTGGATATACTTGGATAGCCCAACTCTGAACCCCCAATTGCCCCCTGCAACTTGTGTGGGGAGGGAAGGGGGGGGGTTGGTACTACTCACGCAACATTGCTCAAGCGAAACAAGTGAGCTCCACGTTGAACTCCAAACTGCGAGTTCTCACCCGTGGAGCTTCCCGCCTCACGGCCTGCACGGCGTGCTGTGCGAAGGGCAGCAGCTCCATCAAGCCCCGCGGCTGCGACTTGGGCAAGGCCTCCCCGCAGCGAACGGCTCCTGGGCCGCAAGTGGGGAATCGAAACGAACCGCATTGGGGTGGAGCCCCAAAACCAAAAGGGAACCCCAAAGCCAACTCAGAGACCTTGATTTGCCCAAAGTCGGCCCCATGTCCCTTGGGAAAAAAAGTGATTTAACACCCAACGGAAAGGCAGATCACGAATAGTTCAAACGAAGTCCAAAGGGACACCTGGGACATCGAAGCTGAAGGGCCCGGCTGAGCTGTGAGCCTTCCGGTTTCCCATTCACATTGTGTGACTGGAAAAACATTGATTGTTTTGCCGAATGCTTGCCCAAAGGCCATTGATGAAGGCGTGTCTGATGTACACGCTGCTCGCAAGGAACGTCTAGGAGGAAAAATGGTTTGCATCCCAGCTTGGGGGCACCCAAAGAAAAGCAGGTGACACTCTTGGAGTCCTTGGCGGGTGAAAAAACGCAAAGCTTGGGATCTCCTTCTTTGAACACCGCCGTTTGGTCACTCTTCTTTCGGGCAATGCGGATCGGATGCCCGAGAACCCCAAGGCCATGGTCAGGTGCAACCAAGGGCAGGTAAGAAAAACGGTCGCCACTTTCCAGGTCCTTGACTAGAGATGGTTCAAAATGGGAAAAAAAACAACTACTTAACAGGTCGGTTCGCTCGCAAGTGTCCTCCACGACAAACACCTTCATGGACAAAGTCCCAAACTTCGTGCGAGGTCCGTATACTTCTTCGCCGAACGAACGATTCTATTTGGCACTCAGTCTATTTGAACGCTTCATGGCTTCTCAATTGTGGCCACAAGGCTGATGCAGTAGGCTGACTTGGCTCGTGTGCAAGCACACATCAAAACTACACGCCGCGGCCGCAGGCACGGATTCCAGAAAACATACGGGCTAGTACCCAGCTCCAAAACGACACCTGCGCACCAATTCGAATGCGCCGAGCTCCTGCGAATTCGCCACCACTAGTATTCACCTGGCTGGAGCAATGGCTTGCCCACCGTGCTTCTGAGACTGTGCGCAGGGAATAAGGTCGTTTGTAAGAACATCACCCATCTCAGGCTCAGAGATCGAATTCTCGGAGAAAAAAAAACAAAAACTGTTGGATGGACATTCGAAAGCCAAAGGCTCTAGCCATTTGTGCGGTTTAGGCTCAACTTGCGTGTGAGACCTCAAGCATCAACTCATTATGCCTCCAAAGAATGGCTTGCGGTTGTTCCTCTGCAGGATGAAAGGGATGCAACGGTGTCAGGGCAATTGATCACCTGGTTTTGGGACACAGTGCAAGGAGGATGTGCTGTTTGAGTTTGAGGGTACGTTTTTGGGATTTGTCCAGGGCAGTCACATCCGCTCCCCCTTTCCCCTAAGCATGCCAGCCATCGCACCGGCCCTATTCTTCTCACTGCTTCACTGCTTCTGTCGACGAAAAACATGTATAGAGCTGTTGCCACGCGTGCAATTACTTCAAACCACGTTGATTGAGGCACTGGCATTTACAAAAAAAAACAATACTGAAGTCTGACATGCGTTGCATTATGTTACATTGAGTTTGATGCACCGCCGCAACGGCAAATGATGTGTTATGCGGCAGCAAGTTGGAGAAGTATTTGCAATGATACTTAGAGTTGCCTTCCATGCCAGATTGCAAAACCACAGTTGATTCGCTGGCGAGCTACTTTGTACAGGCGAAAGGGGGACCATAACAATGGGAATTGCAATGATTCTACTGGCACGCAGCACGCCTTCATTCAATCTAGGTCCCACAGCAGGTAGCTTCACTCAAGTCCTTTGCGTTTCCAAATTTATTTCCATTCTTGTTTTGCATCCTCTGCGATTCTGTGGTTTGTTCGTCGGTTGATGGCATACTTAATCAAGCTGCAGGGCCATCCAAGTGTCGAAACTGCAAGTCCCGACCAGTGACACTTCTGCGCAGCAAAGCGAGTCCGGGCGCCTTGGCATGATAGCTGTGCGCCACGATGGGCTCTCCAGGCGGAATTGGCACCGGGAGGACAGGCACCTTCAGTTGAGCGCTCAGTTGTGCCATTGCAACTCCCATAGGGCCAGCGGCCATGCCCCTAAAAGTTGGCCCATTCATCAACACTGAGGATCTTTGTGGGCTTCTGTAATTCAAACAGCTCCTGAAAAGCACAAAATTGGGCCTGACGACAATCCGGACAATCAATGTTTGTTTCGTGGGTTTGCATGGTTCAACCTTAGTGGGCCTCCCAATGTGCCTCCCACTTGAGCACGAGACCAAACAGGACAGTTTGACCACACCTCCCTTGAGCAGTGCCGTGACTTTTGGCACCAACATATTTCTGGTCTTCATAAATCATATAGCCCCGTCTTTTTCTGCGTGAAGCCAAGGAACGGAACCTGCACCAATTGGACCAATTGGCCCCCGAACCCCTGGAACCTGGCCTTCAAGCGGCGCAGCTCCTCATAGAAGCTGATGTCCTCCGACCACTCTACGTCCGGCACCGGGGTCAGCTCCCAGCAGGCGCGGGTGAAAACGTAGGAAAAGCCTGTGGTGCAGCCGAGGAACTTGTGAAAACTATAAAGAAAGGCATTTTGCTTCGGGTCCATATTTCGCTGATAAGCTAACCTTTGTTTTTGTTGGTTGCCCTGCAAACCAACCCATCCAATTGGCGCCCTGAGGCGCTCTGAGACGTCTGAAAACCGGTTGCTCAAAAACAAGCGCCACAATGGCTCCACAACGTGAATGCGTTGGGCCTAAGAACTCTAGGTGGCCTTTGGACAAGTAGATTCACTTAAAACTAGTGCCATCTATGTTCAACTGAACTGACCTGAGAGGACAGCTCAGTTCCTCAAGCACCAAGCATTGTTCAGACTTGCAATCGGGCGGCCCCAGCCAAAAAGCCAGCCATGCCGTTGGTCACGCGGAACCAGTGGATCCTTCTCAACATCCATCAGGCCAAA